AAAAAATAAAATAGAAACTCGTATCAAATTTGTCAAACAATTTGTATTGAAAAAATGAAATTATGAAAATGAAAATTTGTTTCAGCAATGAAAAATCAATTTATTATTATTAAATTAACATTTTCAGGAATATAAGACATAGATAATGGTGTATATAGGAAGGAAATGTTTCTGCATATTGAACGCATTTATAATCACTAACAATTTGTTAAAAATAGTATAAAAATATAAGAAAATTGCACAGGTAACTCACAGCTGATCTTTTATTTATGCACTGGAAGCTAACTCATCTTAAGGTAATTTCTGGTTAACTGAAACTGATGTATAGTGAGTGAGTACTGACTCGTTCCTATGACATCACTTTGAAAAACTGAATAGTATTTTATAAGCAAAATGGTTAGCTTTTGAGTCACCTCTGACTCATTTGTGGTTAACCATAAGTTAGTTTTAAGTTAACTCAAAATCCTACTGGGCATATACATCACATGTACATAGATTCTATTAAGCATGACCTACGATTTGAGCAAAGTAAACTATTGGGGTATGTTTCATAAGCGATGTATTTTTTCTTTAACATTTATGGAATAGAAATGAAGTCCAGAGTATTTCGGAAATTTTCATAAATATTGGCTTTAATTATAAATAAAATAATAATAAAAATAATTTCAATAACATAACATAAGTATTTTTATTGAAAAAACATTCAATGAAAAATCTATATTTTTCCGGGAATAAAAAAGTATCCTTTTTCGTAAGACGCATCAAGGCAATATTATTTTTACTATTAAGATTATTTTTAAGATTTAAGAAGAAATTTTAAAACATCATGGTTTTGATAGAAATATGTATTATGCTAAGGCAACCAGTTTAAATTGAGTACACTTTATTGAGTTGACACTTTTTGAATACAGGCTTTTATTTCAGAATCGCCCTCTAACCCACAGTGCAATGTCTGTCTAAGTTAAGATATGGTTACTTTTCATAATAATATATGTATAATAATGTAATTAAAATATTAGTTAATATAATGTTCACAGTTAAAGAACTATTTCCACCAAATTTCATTGAAATAAATAACCGGTTTTAATTTTTTACAATATTAATTCTTATATAAATATATCAAATATAAACATACCATGTACATGCAACTTGTTTCCATTGACTGATTTTATACATATAAAATTTGGTGTAAATATTTCTCTGACTTTCTATTGATATTCTACAAAAATTATAATAATATACATAAGTCGTAGGATGTATAAAATTCAAGTTACGTAAAAAACTAATTTATTTATTACTTATCCACAGTTTACTTTTTTTCCATATAATTTTTCTGAAGTACATTAACCCATTTACGATCGCTGTGCCAATTTGGGAACACTTAGTTTTTAAGGCTGTATTAAAAAACGGTTAACTCTGGTTTATTTATTTTTGCATTATTGAGTAGAGGAAGGTGCTCTGAATAAATATTAAATCAAACAATGTAACTAAATTTACTGTTATTGTTGTAATAATCTATTAAATTTCAGTTTCCATAAATATACCAAAAAAGTAAAACAAAGTATGAAACAAACGGTCTGATAACATGGTAATACCCGTGTCTGCCATTTCACTCTGTTTCTAGTTTTTGTGACAGCTCTAAAACGTTAAAAAACGTTATATATATATATATATATATATATATATATATATATATATATATATATATATATATATATATATATATATATATATATATATATACATATATACATATATACATACATACATACATACATACATACATACATATATATATATATATATATATATATATATATATATATATATATATATATATATATATATATATATATATATATATATATATATATGTATGTATGTATGTATGTATGTATGTATGTACATACATACATACATACATACATATATATATATATATATATATATATATATATATATATATATATATATATATATATATATATATACATATATATATATATATATGTATGTATGTATGTATGTATGTATGTATATATGTATGTATGTATGAATGTATTTCTCTAAAGTAGCTTCATAAAGGAACAAGTAATCTATAAGTATGTTTGTGAAAGGTTTCAGAAAATCGATTTGCCGCGGAAGGTTTTTGCACCTAAATTACCTGAGAAAAATGTTTTCGTTGTTAGATCACTACTGGCTACCACGTAGTGATAGGGCCTTATTTTGGTTATCACCCTAATTTACTTACATAAATTCAATAGGAAACTTATTTGGTTATGTCATATGTATATATCGTCATATAAAATCCAAAAAGCCCTAACTCACATTGAACAAATTTTTCAGGAGAAGCAAAAAACCGTCTAAAATAATAAATAAACCAAAAATGTTCAACATTTTCTCAAGTTAAGCTTATTTCTTATTGACAAATTATTATTTGAAGAAAAATTTGCGGTTTTTGTTTCACTTACGGAGATATGAATCTTACGCCCTAGAGAATTTGTTTTTTCTGAAACCCAAAAGGGCCTAAGTTACATTAAAAAATAGTAAGTTTTAACATTTTCAACTTAATCCAAATCGGTTTTTGTTAGTCAAATAGGCCGAAACATGGAAGGCATCTTTGTTTTCATAAAAATTTTAGGAAATTGGAATTTTTCTTTGAAAAAATTCAAAAACTGATAAAATAATCTTTAAATTACAAGGATTCGCTAAAAATGCCATTTTAGTTTCATTTGATGCCAACTTATAACATTTTACAGTTTCGAAGTTAAAAATTCAAACGAATTTTAAAATTTTCATGAATTTTAAGGTAATTTTAGATCATAACCTTTTAGAATTTCTTTGATAGGGACGTTGATTTTAATTGTAGGAGTGTAAAATTTAGCAGGAACATGTATTTTGATACGATGCATCATAATCCATCAAAAAGTCGATTTTGATTTTTTTGTAACTTAGGGATTTTTGGATTTCATATGACGGCATAATTTGATTTTGTCTTAAAAATTTTAATTTATTTCATTTTCAAAATTATAAAACTCGCGATCAATTCGTTTTGGCTCGAATCGCAAGCGAGTTCTATTTAACGCTCTTTAAATTTTCAACTCTTAATTTTTAAACTCTCGAGTCAAAGGATTTATTCGCGGGAAAATAAAATATTTTAATCGCTCGCGAGCGAATTTAATTCAACTAAATAATGATTACAATAACATATTATTTTATATACAGCGATTTAAACTTACAAATAACCATACAACAATACTCATACAGGACAAACAATAAAGTTATTGACAATTTCCCAAACAATTTATTTCAAAAATCATGCACTTTTTGCATTGTTTGGTCTTCGCTTTGCATGCAGAAGTGACGTAAACAAAAATATCTACACAAAAAACCAGTCAAATAAGAACTATTTAGTTGTTTTTGCAACATATTTTCTTTAGAAGATAATATTTCGTCGAAATTTTTAGAAACCATAATTTTAAAGGCACAATTTTTGAAGAATTTAAAAAAGTCATATTACATACATATTTACTCAATTTTATACTTTTCAATCGATTTCCGGCACGGGTTCACGTTGTCCGATTTTAGAACAAAATAAGACACATTTGTGCAAAATCGATATTAATTAAATAGTAATAGAAATGGTTTTAAAAAATGCGAAAAACCCAAGAAAACCTGAACAAGGACCTTTATTCTTTAATCCAGTTCACCAAATATTTACATCAGGACAAACATTTAGAGAAATGTTATCTTAGAATGAACCAAATTGCGGTAATATCAGCAATTTCCATTTTGGCGTCACCCTAATGTGCATGCTTATTATGTATGTATTTCAAATTTCGAAATTGTTGTATTGTGGTTTCGCATTTCATCTAACGATATGTGTGAATGAATGTACGTACATTCCTACGTACATATTTATTTTTTAACTATCTTGTTATTTATTAGCTTAAAGGGTTTATGCATTTTTATTGTGTGTGTACGTGCATTTATGTATACATATGCGTGTGTTGCTTGTTCATGTGTACATACCATGGTCACAAGGGACAAATATTTGCAAATAATTGTGGCAATTGAAATATAAATATCTATGTACATGATGCTAATTTGAATAAATTTGAATTTGCTGTCAACAAATTGGAACAAATTTAATTTAACATAATTAATTTTTTCGTACGTCACCTATGTATGTATTTGAAAAAATAGTGTTCACATTTTATATGGCAAACATTTGTACAACGTGGCCATAGCTTCAAAATTGAATACATATGTTTTTTTACATATTCATGTACATACATATGTATATACTTATGTAATTTTTAATTTTTCCATTTATTATTTATTGACTTGAAGTGTAATTTATGTTTTGCGTTTAATTTTATTTTTTGTTATATTATTTTTAAGAATCAACAATTTTATTAATTTACTTAATTTATTAATAATAAATAATATGTTTATCCTACTTATTCATTCTGTATGTATATATTGTAATTTATTTTAAATTTTTTCTGTTCTATTATTATTATTTTTATGTGTGTACGTGTTTTAATAAATTTCAGTATTATTACTTTTAATTATCCTTTTAACATTTAACCTTTTAAAAATTCATAAATGTCTTATTTTGCATTGTGTTTTATGTGTTCATTGAGCCCATTTTAATTAAATTATATTTTATTTATTTTTTTAATATTTGGTTGTTTTACTTAATCATTTTTCACAATCGCACACGTACATACATACATGCACATGTATGTATGTATGAATGTACATAACTCGTCTCATATTGGCAAAATTAGTTCTGATTTTGTATTAATACGCACCCTGTAACATAAATACATATACTGACTATATACTTAATATTCATACAAATATGTATGTAATATATCCACATGTATGTACATTTATTCATATATGGTCATACATACATATGTATATCGTACATAGTAGTTTTCGAGACCTCAAAGGGCTAATGTATAAAATTTGGCATCTCAATTTTGTTGTTATTTTTTCGTGAAACTATAAATAGTCGTTAATAGTAAAGTATTCGATACATTTTTAGTTAATTAATCTTAAATAGAAAATAGTACAGACTGCTTAAATAACACTACTAACAATATCAAATGAATAGGGAGGATTCTTATGTTGATGGAAATGGTAATGGGAATGATGAGAATGACTATATATGTATATCAGTGGAGAACAAAGTTAATATTCATACTGTTTTTACTCAACCCATATAGTGAAACCATGGTTTCTTTTAAAAATTAAGTTTTCAATAGTTTTTGCTTAATTTGCGAATGTATGTTTCTTATATTGTTTTTGTTTTATATATGTATGTATTTTAGTTGTAGTTTCCATTTATATTTAGATAAGCTCAGAATATAATATTAAAAAATTGTTTGTGGTTGTAGGTAGGAGTTTCTTTTACATCTATTATTTTCAGAATTGTGTATGAACTCTTTAATCAGAAATGAAAGGAAATAAATAAAACGTACATACATACGTATGAATGAATGAGCTTTGTTTCAAAATTAAACTTGTAATTCTCTTATATGTAAGTATATGTAAATATAAAAAATAAGTTTGAATAATTATATGTATACATAATATGTACATATGTATAAAGTGTTATTATGTACAAGTCTGATCCTTTTTCTTTAATATAATGTGAAAAATAATAAAAGTTATGTTTTTGGAAAATATTAATTTCGAGCAAACAATTTATCTTAAATAATAAATGCACTACGCTACCTTTTTCCCTGAAAAATAAGAAAAATTTATATTTTTTCAATTTTATGGATATGGAAAATATTAATTTCAAGCAAACAATTTATCTTAAATACTAAATGCACTACGCCACCTTTTTCCCTTGCAAAAGAGCTTACTCGTGCAGGTACTTGGAAATTTATAAATTTTAAAACTTTGGAAATCGTGATTTCCTGTTTGGATTCCATAATTGTGTACTCTGTTTAAAAAACAAATAATTATGAAATAATTTGAAATAAAAGTGAAATGAATGTGACAGTTAGTTCCATGACATTACATTTAAAGAGATTTTTTTTAACATTTTGAAACTTATATTTTTGCAATTTATTTTTTCTTTATACTTATAAAAAATAGCGAACAAATGAACGGAATTGTCCGCAATTATATTGTAATTTTGAATGGTGATTTACATCTTAAAAAAACAACTTTTTCTCCACCTGCAACGCTAATACTAAGTGGTATTTTATTTTGCCTGTTTAGCTTTATTCGAATATTTAAATAACCTATCCTCAGTACAAATTAATTCTAAGTACAGTAAAAAATAATTTTAAAGTAAACAAATTATATTTTGTCCTGTATAAATAAATTAAAAAAAAATTATTTGAAAGCGTAACAACAAGCTGAAATTTCCTTAATTTCATATAGTTGAAATAAATGAAATAAAAGAAACATCGGTTTTAGGGGAAGGAAGAAGCTCTAATATTTTTCGTGGTCCGGTATAGTATACATATGTACATGATTACAACTTATTACTAGGGGAAATGGCGATACATGTTGTAATTTTAGCGTTGATCTTAATTAATAATTATGACTTGCAACGATTACATTCTCACCAATATTTTAATTTACATACATTGTGTTATTGTACTCACATTATTGATTTTTAATAAAATAAGCGTAGTAGGTTTAATAATAAATACAAACAGAATTTGTTTTAAACATAATTTATACAATAGATTATCTATTTACTATGAAGTTTTTAACAAAAAACAAAAATAAATATTAACTCAAAATATTTCCACTAACAATAGTACACTTATAAATGCGTATTGTAAGTAAATAAATAAATATAATAGTAGAAAATGTGTATGTATGTATGTATGTATGTAGTTTTCTTTACTTAATACAATTACAAAAAAAAAAAAAGGATAGGGAGGAATGTTTGTGGGTGAAATGTTCTTGTTCTAAATTCATCTAAAATATTATTGAGTGAATAAAAACTAGTAATGGTGTATTATCATGTTAATTACAATTACTGATTAGTTTTTTTCTTGAGATTGATTTAGTGTGTGTATATTTGTATTTGATTCTTTTTTGGTTTGTATGTTTTTCCTATTTGTTGTATTTATTGCATTTAAATTTGTTTTGTTTCAAAGGCAATGGATATAATATGCTGGAGTTGTGTGTTTTGTTTTTGTGCTTTTTTGCCTTTTTAATCACTTGTTTCGATTTTTATAACATTTTACTAGACATATGTATGTAAATAAAAGTATGTGCTGCATTCATTTTTTATATTTAGTACTACTGTGTGTGGTTTCTGCTCATTCTAGTTGTTTTGGATTTTTAGAAATGTTGCCATTTTTCCGTTGAACATTGTCCATTTGTATAAGCTTCCCATTCGCAATCGCAACCTTCTAAGCAGTCGGGACATTCCAGCTCACTATCTTGTCAGTACATCCACGATACTGGTATCCATTGTGATGTGGTTTGCACCCGTTCAATAGCAGTCTCTAAACATGCTATAGTTTCACCGATGTCATTATTTACAATCGTCAAATCAAAGAAATGACCATACATCTGACGTAGCATGTCGGATTCTTTTGCCAAACGTTCCAAACTGCCATCATACTAAAATAAAAAGTTGTAAATTAAATACATGTAAGATTGGTAAGTAAAACTTCAATAAAGTGAACATATAAATAAGAATTAAAAGTAAAAGTTAAAGAATATATTGTGTTAATTTTGCTTCTTTACATAGTTTTTAGAAAATTATGTTAGCTTCCAGGAGGATTTTTATTCCTCCTCGGTGAGGGCTCAAGTGTTGTCATCGAAATCTACAGTCATTAATATTTCTGTTAAATTTAATTTGCAGAAAGAGTATACGTCATATTAACGTATTATCACTTTTCAATGTTTTACAGGTGAAGCAAAAAACTTTAAAAAATTAAAATTATTTAAGATATAAAACCATATATTATATACATATGTATGTACATAAATATGTGTAAAACACAATAGGAGATCAATTTCAGAAGAAAAAATATTACTTTTCGAAGTATTTTTTGAGGATCTATAAAATTGACATTTTTTAAAAATGTTTTATTAATAAGGTTTATTTCGTATTGAAAATGGGTAATATCGGTGTACGACATGGCATAATGATTTGCAGATAGTCCCAATTCTACAACAAATACAACTAAGCAAAAACAACATGGAATTTGTTTTTGTAAAAATATTTTCTAACTGTCAAATAGAAAAATAAATAAAATAAGAAAATTTTATTTTTTAAAATAATTTGCAAGTATGTAATTGCAAATATAAAATGTATGTTTCGGTCATTAGTACAGAGGTCGCCTATGGAATGCTAACGTCATTAATGTTTGTACGAATATTCCTTGCTAAAGCTCTTCCGTTTTTTGGGTTCAGAGGGTGAGCGGATTGCTTCATAGGGAGTTATAGCAAGTTCGCGTGGCCATCGGCTGAGTTCGAGGAATCACAAGCATTATTGATTTAGATCTTTTCAAATTCATTGGGAAGTTGTCGTGAAAAAATTAAAAACACTATTATATACATTAATACTTTTTTAAAATTACATACATATATTAGAACAAATTGCGGCTGTAGTCTGATTTCAATGAAATTTAGTGGAAATAGTTCACTGATGTTGCAGATAATGAACTCTAAGTGATGTAATAGAAATTAATTAGGTATTTTTAGCTAATATTACAAAAAAAATTTGTGACATAATAAGTTATTTTTCCAAAATTTCATCCATAAAAACCGGTTAACCAACACACCCGGTTAGTCGGTTTCGGCTTTTGAATACCTTTGATTTCTTACCTACAGTTTAGTTTTAAAATTAATACATTTTACAGCCATACGAATTATAGGAAATTATTTAGGGTGTAAGTAGTTTTTGTAAATTATGTTCTTGTTTTTGAAGTTGCGTTTTTGTTTTTTCAAATTGCGTTTGCAATTTCTGAAACAAAGCGACCGACATCAACGTACCTCGTTGAATGCTGCAAAGCAACTAAATAAAATATTTGTATTTTTGACGCTCTTGTTAAGAAGTTCGTATGCGATCGTGTTGTATATATGTAAATCGCCGAAAATCTTCGTATTCAGAACAGTACTAGCGCCGGTCTATGATGTAAATATGTATATTCATTAGGATGACTTAATAAATCTTATATAGTGATGCAAAATGTCGGAATCGTCTGAATCCCACAAAACGATTCTCCTTTCCAGGTATTGCCGAAATTTAGCTCGAATAAACGTTAACCCGTGGCGCTTGTCGCTCAAAATGTCCAAAAAATTTTAATGTTTGGCCAAAAAGCTTACATATGGAGCCATAACTTCTGAACAACATACTTATTATCTCAAAAGAAAGCTAATATTGTTCTGCAAAATTTATATTCTATGCATACTTTTTTTGTTATTATACCCTTCACCTTCGTGAGAAGGGTATATTTATACCCTTCACCTTCGTGAGAAGGGTATATTTATACCCTTCACCTTCGTGAGAAGGGTATATATAAGTTTGTCATTCCGTTTGTAATTTCTATAATATAATTTTCCGACCCTATAAAGTATATATATTCTGGATCCTTATAGGTGTGTTTCATTGCCTTGAGTATATTGTTTTTGTTTCTTGGTGCATTCAGTTTCGTATGTTTGGATGTCTGTTGGTTTCATTGCGTTGTGTATTTTGTTTTTGTTTTTTTTTAGTATTTCGTTTTGTATGTTTCATTGCCATGTGTATATTGATTTTGTTTCTTGGTGTATTCAGTTTCGTATGTTTGGATGCTGTTTGTTTTACTGCCTTGTGTATTTTGGTTTTTGTGTGGTTATTTCGTTTAGCGTTGTTGTTGTTCATTTTGTTTTGCTATTGCTATAATAATGATCAGAGGGCGAAGTCGACTTTAAATTGTCGACGGCGGCGGCTGAGGCAATATAATTCGGCGGCGGCTTAAAGTCGGCTCAGAGCCGAACGTTTTTAGGGAAATTTAAACTCTTAAATTTATGTTCAAAAATAATGTAAAAATTTTGAGACTGGAGGGTCACTTTGCTTAAAATATTAATAATAAATGGTTTTTAAAAAAGGCTCAAAAGTTTCTAGATTTAGTCTACTTTAATTCCCATTTACACTCTCTGGAATCTTACGAAGAAATTGTGGATAGTATAGCCATATTAGGGAACAAATAAAAAATATTTAAATTTACAAGACATACATTTACATATCATTTAAATAATTTTTTTGCAAAATATAAATGTTATTAATATAAAAAAATGTTAGCATAATAGTTCCGAAACAACTTATTGCGCATTCACATTCATATAAAAAAATATAACAACGAATATACATATCGGGAGTATTGAAAAAATCTTGTACGTTTTCAAAATATAATTTGGCCAATAACAATTCATTATGTTACAGAATCAAAAATAATTGGTCCTACAGTCTATAGCCTAGTTAATAAAGACATTAAAAAATTTGAGTCGTCTTAAGCCGAGTGTTTCGGCGGTGGAACAATCAACTAAATATAGTTCGGCGGCGACTAAGCGCCGACTCGAAGCCGGTCGACTTCGCCCTCTGATAATGATATCGTCCGGAAAATTAAATAAATTTAAATTTTACGAAATTGATATTTATTAAATACACTATGGTGAAGGGTATATAAGATTCGGCAAAGCCGAATATAGCACTTTTACTTGTTTTTATTTAATTTCAAATTAAATTGATTTATTTCAATATTTAACCTAGCCTATTGGACATAATCGGTTACAAATTTCTGCTTGAAATAGGTATACATAAAAAAATATATAAATAACAAATATTTAAAAAATCAATTAATAATAAAAAGAATTGTAAAATAATTTGAAAAAAAAAAAAAAAATAAACATGTAAGAAAGTATAGCCGGGCGCGGCAGACCTACACCAGTTATGAATATTAAATGTGATTTATTTTTCGTAATGAAGCATTTATTTTCAATTTATGGATTTAAGCAATTTATGGACGAAAAACTAATTTTATGAAAGAGGCTTTATGGGGACAAGGGGCAAATATAGACCGATCCCGATAATATTTTGTGAATAGATTTATATTTATATAATATTTATTTGTACTGAAATTCATAGCGATATTAGTGTTTACACGTGACTTTTGGGCATTCAAGTCATTTTCTGAAGGGAACTTTGTATGGGAGCTAAGGTCAAATGAGGCCCGATCTTTATGAAATTTGGCCAGGCCATCAAAGCCAGTCAGACGGACGCACATGGCTTAGAATAGGATATATACCCTCCCTACTAAAGTGGTGTAGGGTATAAAAATTATTGAAAGTACACTGAAAATAATCCATGCCTAAAATATACGAAAAATGTCGTATATTGTACGAAATGCTTCGTGGTTTCCCACCACGAAATTCTTTCGTAATATGCAAAATTGTACGAAATATTTTAGTAAAATGCAAAATAATTTTATATAATTTTAGAAAAAAAATTTGTTCATTTTACGATTTTTTTAAAAACATAAATATGTTAGTTCTTTTAAAATAATCATTGTAGATTTAAAAAAAGATTGCGAATTAAAAAAAAAAACAATTTTTTTATGTTTTTTAAAAAAACATAAAAAATTTAAAATTACGTTTAATTTAACTCGCTTAAAATTACGAATATAACAAAAAAAATTCGTAACAAAATAATTTTTTTTTGTGAAATCAAAAATAATTCTTGTATTTTACTAAATAATTTTGTTACGAAAAAAAATCGTTACTTTTTTTAAATATTACATGTCTTAACGAAATTATATTTGTAAAAGAAAACAAAGTTTCTTAATATATACGAAAAAAGATATTACGACAGGTTTTCGTAAAATTAGAAAAGGGGTTGATTAAACAATATTTCGTATTATTCACAAAATTTTCGTATATACATATTACGAAAAAAGTAGTTACGAAATTTTTTTTCGTAAAGTTAAACATGGATTATTTTCAGTGTAGTACAACCAAGATTTAAATCGTTCCAAATAATAATTCAAATTGCCAAAGGGTAGCATTTTCCTAAATCATCAAAAACCGGCTAAAAAATACAAAAAAGTTATCTACATATTTACATAATTTCATGTTTCTAGCCAATAACAACACCCTGCTTCATTTGTAACGTGTTGTTCTTTCTGTGCTTTGTTTTTATAAACAAGCAAGTACAAGAACAAAATTTACCGTACGATGCTGTATAAAAAAATTAACATTTTTAAGCAGTAGGAAAAGGTTATTGCCATCCACCTGGCGTGGTGAATGACTCCAGGAGTTCTAAAACCCACAAATACGAGAACCAACTGCAATAGCTCCTTGTAGTCATCTCTGGGTGGCTATCGGTTTATTTTATCTCGATTTCAGCAGTAACATTTGAAATTACTGCTTACTTAGCTGCTTTTGTATTATATTGTTACTGATACCTGTGCCGTATTTTCCATTGTCTATCTTGGGCTACTCAGTGAGAATTCTATTGCAAATGTCTATATGAGGTCCAATGGTTGATCCCATCTTTGTGTCGAATACGCGTCTTAATAGAATTTCCAAGATATGGCGACGGTACGCTAGGTATAACAATTCTCTTCCTAATATTTACT